AAAGCTGCTTTCATAGAAAACCTGGAATCTTTCTACAACAGATGGGAACATAAAAAGTCTGGGCTAAATGGTACTGCCCTTGATACTGGCCATGTAGTCACAAACTGTAAGGCTGGAGATGATGACCTGGTAGTCAGTAAATGTGGGGCTGATAGTGCTGTCCTGGGAGACAGTAATGGTGAAGCTGGAGGTGCTGTCCTGGGAGACAGAAATGGTGAAGCTGGAGGTGCTGTCCTGGGACACAGAAATGGTGAAGCTGGAGATACTGTCCTGGGAGACAGTAATGGTGAAGCTGGAGATACTGTCCTGGGAGACAGTAATGGTGAAGCTGGAGGTGCTGTCCTGGGAGACAGTAATGGTGAAGCTGGAGAATTTGTCCAGGTAGTCGGGAATTATACGCAGGAAGGAATACATATAAATGACCTCATAGGGGACAGGAGCCATAGTAGGGAAACAAGTGTAGTCAAAGATAAGATAAAACCAATATTGCAAACTAGAAATACCGCAGGAAATAGCAAACAAGAGGACTCCAATAGCAATACTGAGGATAAATTACCAAAAACAACTGGTGGGAGCTCCATTGTTGGTGCTAGGGAGGATAGAAGTAAGACAGGGAAACATGCACCAACAGGGAATACAGTCACAGAAACCCAAGGCAAGCGGAAACCAAGCCTGTGCACATACTATGCACTTGGTATCTGCTGGCATGGGAAATCTGGAAAAACAGATGGGACATGCAACTATGACCACCCTAGAAAATGCCATGCCCATATGACAACAGGAAAATGCAAACTCCCTTCCTGTAAGCTTTTTCACCCTGAAATGTGTACCTCTTCAGTACAGGAAAGACTGTGCTATAACTTAAATTGCCAGGCATACCATCTAAAGGGGACAAAAAGATACAAAACATCCAGGCCATGGGAAAACCTGGGTAGCCACAGCCACTCAAGAGGGAGAGGTTTTTTAGTGCCAGGAAGGAAAAAAAAAACTGGCAGGAAATGGCAGAAATCGTACACCAAATCCAGTCATTCCTGGAGTGGAACCACAGTCGATGGCCTCCACTCCAAACCAACAGATACAGATACTAATGCCGGAAAAAAAATCCCCCCCAGTACCAACAATACCACCAGTCCGATAACATTCTTCTTTGCAAATATACAGGGTCTAAAGCCAGCAACAAGCAACAAAATACCTTTCATCCGTGGACTGCTTGCAGAGGCAAAGGCAATGTTCGCAGCTTTCACTGAGACCCACATAAAGGATCACTTGGACAATGAAATATGGATCCCAGGTTACAACCTATACAGATGTGACAGAGTGAACAGGCAAAAGGGGGGGTTGGCCTGTACATTGCAGAGTCACTTGTTTGCACAGAACTGCTTAATGCCTCAAATGATGTAGTGGAAGTTTTAGCAGTAAAGGTCGAGAACCAAAACCTAGTCATTGTGGTAGTCTACAAGCCTCCGGATGCAACATCCCAGCAATTCCAGGAACAGCTGTTAAAAATTGACCACTGTCTGGAAAATCTTCCAGCTCCTGCACCCAACATCTGCTCCTGGGGGATTTCAACTTAAGGCACCTAAAATGGAGGAATATAGCAAATAATATTGTTGCAGTAATAACACCAGGAGGCAGCTCTGATGAAAACTCACACTCACACGAGCTTTTAAATCTCTGCACAAAATTAAATTTTAAAAACCAGCAAATAATAGAGCCTACTAGACTGGAGAATAAACTAGACCTCATCTTCACTAACAATGATGATCTGATAAGAAATGTCACCATATCAAAAACAATATACTCAGACCACAACATAATTGAGGTTCAGACATGTATGCGTGGAGCCCCAGACCGACAAAATGAGACTAGTCACGAGGGAGCATTCACCAAATTCAACTTCAATAACAAAAACATAAAGTGGGACCAAGTAAACCAAGTCCTAACCGATATAAGCTGGGAAGATACACTAAGCAACACAGACCCCAACTTATGCCTAGAACAGATTAACTCGGTGGCACTCGATGTATGCACAAGGCTTATTCCTCTAAGAAAAAGGAGGAGTAGATGTAAAATACAAAGAGACAGGCGCTCCCTTTACAGGCGACGGAAAAGAATAACAGAGCGGCTAAAAGAGGTCAATATATCTGAAATGCGTAGGGAGACACTGGTCAGAGAAATAGCAAGCATCGAACTAAGCTAAAAGAATCTTATAGGAGTCAGGAATCGCGGGAAGAACTAAAAGCCATAAATGAAATCGAAAGAAACCCAAAGTATTTCTTCTCCTATGCCAAATCAAAATCGAGAACAACGTCCAGTATTGGGCTCCTACTTAAACAAGATGGGTCCTACACAGATGACAGCAAGGAAATGAGTGAGCTACTCAAGTCCCAATATGACTCAGTTTTTAGCAAGCCGCTAACCAGACTGAAAAGTCGAAGATCAAAATGAATTTTTTTATGAGTGAGCCACAAAATTTGATTAACACAAGCCTATCCGATGTTATCCTGACGCCAAATGACTTCGAACAGGCGATAAATAACATGCCCATGCACTCTGCCCCAGGGCCAGACTCATGGAACTCTGTGTTCATCAAGAACTGCAAGAAGCCCCTATCACGAGCCTTTTCCATCCTATGGAGAGGGAGCATGGACACGGGGGTCGTCCCTCAGTTACTAAAAACAACAGACATAGCCCCACTCCACAAAGGGGGCAGTAAAGCAATAGCAAAGAACTACAGACCAATAGCACTACCATCCCATATCATAAAAATCTTTGAAAGGGTCCTAAGAAGCAAGATCACCACCCATCTAGAAACCCATCAGTTACACAACCCAGGGCAACATGGGTTTAGAACAGGTCGCTCCTGTCTGTCTCAACTATTGGATCACTACGACAAGGTCCTAAATGCACTAGAAGACAAAAAGAATGCAGATGTAATATATACAGACTTTGCAAAAGCCTTCGACAAGTGTGACCATGGCGTAATAGCGCACAAAATGCGTGCTAAAGGAATAACAGGAAAAGTCGGTCGATGGATCTATAATTTCCTCACTAACAGAACACAGAGAGTAGTCATCAACAGAGTAAAGTCCGAGGCAGCTACGGTGAAAAGCTCTGTTCCACAAGGCACAGTACTAGCTCCCATCTTGTTCCTCATCCTCATATCCGACATAGACAAGGATGTCAGCCACAGCACCGTGTCTTCCTTTGCAGATGACACCCGAATCTGCATGACAGTGTCTTCCATTGCAGACACTGCAAGGCTCCAGGCGGACATCAACCAAATCTTTCAGTGGGCTGCGGAAAACAATATGAAGTTCAACGATGAGAAATTTCAATTACTCAGATATGGTAAACATGAGGAAATTAAATCTTCATCAGAGTACAAAACAAATTCTGGCCACAAAATAGAGCGAAACACCAACGTCAAAGACCTGGGAGTGATTATGTCGGAGGATCTCACCTTCAAGGACCATAACATTGTATCAATCGCATCTGCTAGAAAAATGACAGGATGGATAATGAGAACCTTCAAAACTAGGGAGGCCAAGCCCATGATGACACTCTTCAGGTCACTTGTTCTATCTAGGCTGGAATATTGCTGCACTCTAACAGCACCTTTCAAGGCAGGTGAAATTGCCGACCTAGAAAATGTACAGAGAACTTTCACGGCGCGCATAACGGAGATAAAACACCTCAATTACTGGGAGCACTTGAGGTTTCTAAACCTGTATTCCCTGGAACGCAGGAGGGAGAGATACATGATTATATACACCTGGAAAATCCTAGAGGGACTAGTACCGAACTTGCACACGAAAATCACTCACTACGAAAGCAAAAGACTTGGCAGACGATGCACCTTAAGAGACCATACAATAAGTGTCAGGTGCCCGAGACTGTTCAACTGCCTCCCAGCACACATAAGGGGGATTACCAACAGACCCCTGGCAGTCTTCAAGCTGGCACTGGACAAGCACCTAAAGTCAGTTCCTGATCAGCCGGGCTGTGGCTCGTACGTTGGTTTGCGTGCAGCCAGCAGCAACAGCCTGGTTGATCAGGGGCTGATCCACCAGGAGGCCTGGTCACAGACCGGGCCGCGGGGGCGTTGACCCCCGAAACTCTCTCCAGGTAAACTCCAGGTAAACACAGTAACACTTGTGACACACTGATACTTGTGACACACTGAGACCTGTGACACTGATATTTGTGACGTACTGATACTTGTGACACACTAACACTTGTGGCACACTGATACTTGTGACACACTGGTACTTGTGATAAAGTGATACCTGTGACACAGTGATACTTGTGACACACTGATAGCTTTGACACACTGATAGTTGTGACACACTGATACTTGTGACACACTGATACTTGTGACGCACTGACACTTGTGACACACTGATACTTGTGACGCACTGACACTTGTGACACACTGATACTTGTGACACACTGATACCTGTGACACAGTGATACCTGTGACTCATTGACACTTGAGGCACATTGATACGTGTGACACTCTGCCACGTGTGACACACTGACTCTTGTGACACGCTGATACTTGTGATACATTGATACCTGCTACACACTGACACCTGTGACACTGACACCTATAACACACTGATACATGTGACACATTGATACTTTTGACACACTGATACATATGACACATTAATTCTTTTGTCACACAAATACACGTGACATGACACCTGGATACATCTAGCAGCTATATATTATATTACACATTTGCACAAAACATGACTTGCAGCAAGTGTGTCAGCGGATACATGTTCATACAAGGACACTGCTGAATGTATTAAATAACTCAGTTTGTGTTATTCAAGCACTCTTACATCAGAGTCAGGCTTTAATTAAAGAACGTTGCGCAACGTTTTGCTCCAAGTCGTCAGTGAATCGTTGAATAATGAAAGCCTTGGTCTGCAATGTGTGTTATTTTAGTTGCAAACAGAGGTGTGGTTACCAAAATATTGATTGATTACGTGTGTGATCAGTGTTGCAGGTGGTGCGTCTCTCACCACTCTCTCTCTCACACTGACTACTTCACCAGTACTTACCCGTACCCACCTGTATGTTGCTGCAGGGGTCCTAGTTGTACTCACCTAGTTTTGGTTGCAGGGGTCGAGTCACAGCTCCTGGCCCCGCCTCTTCACTGGCCGCTACTCGATCACTCTTCCTGCTCCATGAGCTTTATCATACCTCTTCTTAAAGTTATGTATGGATCCTGCCTCCACTACATCACTTCCCAGACTATTCCACTTCCTGAAAACTCTGTGACTGAAGAAATATTTCCTAACATACCTGTGATTCATCAGAGTCATCAACTTCCAACTCTGACCCCTTGTTGCTGTATTCCATCTCTTGAACATCCTGTCTCTGTCCACCTTGTCGATTCCTCTCAGTATTTTATACGTCGTTATCATATTCCCCCTATCTCTCTTGTCCTCCAGTGTCGTCAGGTCGATTTCCCTTAACCTTGTTGGAAACCTTGTGCACTTTCTCTAGTTTCCTTACGTGCTTGGTTAGGTGTTGATTCAAAACTGGTACTGCATACTCCAATATAGGCCTAATGTACACGGTGTACAAGGTCCTGAACGATTCATTATTGAGATGTCGGAGTGCTGTTCTTAGGTTTGCTAGGTGCCCATATGCTGCAGCAGTTATTTGGTTGATGTGCGCTTCAGGAGACATGCATGGTGTTATACTCACTCCAAGATCCTATTCGTTGAGTGAGGTTTGTAGTCTCTGGCCCCATAGATTGTACTCCGTCAGCAGTCTTCTTTGCCCTTTCTCAATCTTTATGACTTTGCACTTGGTGGGGGTTGACCTCCAGGAGTCAGCTGCTAGACCAGGCCTGTAGCCTGTCCAGATCGCTTTATAGTTCTGCCTGGTCCTCGTCCAATTGAATTCTTCTCATCAACTTCACATCATTTGCAAACAGGGACACTTCTGAGTCTATTCCTTCCGTCATGTCGTTCACAAATACCAGAAACAGCAACAGTGCTAGGACTGACCCCTGTGGGACCCTGCACGTCATAGGCACCCACTCTGACAACTCGCCACATACCACGAATCGCTGTTGTCTTTCTGACAGGTATTCCCTGATTCATTGTGGTGCCTTCCCTGTTATCCCTGCCTGGCCTTCCAGCTTTTGAACTAATCCCTTGTGTGGAACTGTGTCAAACGCCTTTTTACAGTCCAAGAAAACGCAATCTACTCACCCCTCTCTCTCTTGTCTTACTGCTGTCACCCTGCGGTAGAACTCCAGCAGGTTTGTGACAGGATTTCCCATCCCTGAAATCGTGCTGGCTGTCGCTGATAAGCTCATTCCTTTCTAGGTGCTCTACCAATCTTCTGATAATCTTCTCCATGACTTTGCATACGATACATGTCTATGACACTGATTTGTAGTTTAATGCTTCGTGTTTGTCTCCTTTTTTTAAAAATTGGGACTACATTTGCTGTCTTCCATACCTTAAGTAGTCGCCCTGTTTCGATAAATGTGTTGAAGATTGTTGTTAGTGGAACACATAGCGCCTCTGCTCCCTCTCTCAGGACCCATGGAGAGATGTTATCCGGCCCCATAGCCTTTGAGTATCTAGCTCGCTTAGCAGCCTCTTCGCTTCTTTGGTTGTATGTACTGTGTCCAACATTGATGGTGTACCCCACCTCTCTGTCCTGTGTTTGTTTGCTCTCACTCATTTGTACTCGTCTATTTGTGGTTGCAGGGGAAGATTCACAGCTTTTGGCCCCGCCTCTTTCTTAACGTGTGTGTGTGTGTGTGTGTGTGTTGCGAAGGGGTATAGTACACCCAAATTAATGTGAGTTGAGGGGAGGATTGTGTTGGTGGGGGGAGGGCGGAAGGGTGAGGTCGATCATACCTACCAGTATGGAGTCTGTGTTGGGTGAATTGATTTAGTTACTGGTGGTGAGGGTGACTCACAGGTGGCGCTGCTTAGAGGTCTGGTTGTACTTATGTGTACACCATTGACTGACTCTCACTCACTCACACGACCTCTGCTCCCACAAATAGGTAAGTACACACAAATACATTCACGCACACATACATATAAACACACACATAAAAAAGACACACACAAACAAACTCACACACAAACATAAATACCAACGGCATACCAGGTCCTGAGGAAAGACAGAGGGAACAGGGGGGGTGGAGGAGTGCACTGCTGATCAAAAACCGATGGAATTTTGATGAGCTGGAGAGAGGAGACAGCGGAGAAGAAAGTGATTACATAGCGGGAACACTTCACTCTGGAGGTCCCAAGTGGTAATTGCAGTGATGTATAACCCACCACAGAACAGCAGGAGGCCAAGGCAAGAGTATGACGAGAGCAATAGAGCGATGGTTTACACACTGGCTGCAGTGGCCAGAAGAGCTCATGCATGCAGGGTAAAGCTCCTCATCATGGGTGACTTTAACCACAAGGAGATCGATTGGGAGAAATTGGAGCCACATGAAGGCCAAGATACATGGAGGGCTAAGATGATGGAGGTGGTACTGGAAAACTTCATGTACCAACACGTAAGGAACACTACAAGAGAGTTAGGAGAGGATGAACCAGCAAGACTGGACCTAGTATTCACCTTGAGTAATGAAAATATTTAGGATATCACATATGAAAGACCCCTTGGGGCCAGCGATCTTGTGGTTTTAAGCTTGGAATACACAGTAGAGCTACAAGTGGAGGGAGAAGCAGGAAGGCCAGGACGAATGAAGCCAAACTACAAGAAAGGGGACTACACAGCAATGAGGAACTTCCTGAAAGGGGTTCAGTGGGACAGAGAACTGGCAGGGAAGCCAGTTAATGAGATGATGGAATATGTAGCAACAATGTGCAAGGAGGCTGAGGAGAGGTTTGTATCCAAGGGTAACAGGAATAATGAAAAAGCCAGGATGAGCCCATGGTTCACCCAAAGGTGCAGGGAGGCAAAAACCAAGTGTGCTAGGGAATGGAAGAAATATAGAAGGCAAAGGACCCAGGAGAATAAGGAGAGCAGTCATAGAGCCGGAAATGAATATGCACAGATTAGAAGGGAGGCCCAAAGACAATATGAAAACGACATAGCAGCGAGAGCCAAATCTGACCCGAAGCTGTTATACAGCCACATCAGGAGGAAAACAACAGTCAAGGATCAGGTAATCAGGCTAAGGAACGAAGGGGGAGAGACAACAAGAAATGACCTTGAAGTATGTGAGGAACTCAACAAGAGATTCAAAGAAGTATTCACAGAGGAGACAGAAGGGGCTCCAGATAGCCGGAGAGGTGGGGCACACGACCAAGTGCTGGACACAGTACACACAACCGAGGAAGAAGTGAAGAGGCTTCTGAGTGAGGTAGATACCTCAAAGGCAATGGGGCCGGATAACATCTCTCCATGGGTCCTGGGAGAGGGGGCAGAGGCACTATGTGTACCCCTAACAACAATATTGAATACTTCTATCGAAACAGGCATGGAAGACAGGAAAAGTATTCCCAATCTTTAAAAAAGGAGACAGACATGAAGCACTAAACTACAGACCAGTGTCACTGACATGTATAGTATGCAAAGTCATGGAGAAGATTATCAGGAGAAGAGTGGTGGAACACCTAGAAAGGAATGATCTCATCAACAGCAGCCAACATGGTTTCAGGGACGGGAAATCCTGTGTAACAAACCTACTGGAGTTCTATGACATGGTGACAGAAGTAAGACAAAAGAGAGTAGGGTGGGTGGATTGCATTTTCTTGGACTGCAAGAAGGCGTTTGACACAGTTCCACACAAGAGACTAGTGCAAAATCTGGAGGACCAAGCAGGGATAACAGGGAAGGCACTACAATGGATCAGGGAATATTTGTCAGGAAGACAGCAGCGAGTCATGGTACGTGGCGAGATGTCAGAGTGGGCACCTGTGACCAGCGGGGTCCCACAGGGGTCAGTCTTAGGACCAGTGCTGTTTCTGGTATTTGTGAACGACTTGACGGAAGGAATAGACTCCGAAGTGTTCCTGTTTGCAGATGACGTGAAGTTGATGAGAAGAATTCATTTGATCGAAGACCAGGCAGAGCTACTAAGGGATCTGGACAGGCTGCAGACCTGGTCCAACAACTGGCTCCTGGAGTTCAACACCGCCAAGGGCAAAGTCACGAAGATTGGGGAAGGGCAAAGAAAATCGCAGATGGAGTACAGTCTAGGGGGCCAGAGACTACAAACCTCACTCAAGGAAAAAGATCTTGGGGTGAGTATAACACCAGGCACATGTGAAGCGCACATCAACCAAATAACTGCTGCAGCATATGGGCGCCTAGCAAACCTCAGAACAGAATTCCGACATCTTAATAAGGAATCGTTCAGGACCCTGTACACCGTGTACGTTAGGCCCATATTGGAGTATGCGGCACCAGTTTGGAATTCACAAATACCCAAAGATTTTTAGATTTTGCCACCGAAGTTGCTAGTTTATTGTGCACCCCATATCCATCCTGTGGACGGTAGCACAAGAGCATATAGATATACAAAAGGCCCAGGAACTAGGCCCCAAAGGGTTAACATGAATACATATGGATTTATATCTACATATCTATAGTTCACTTATCTCTTACAAGCAAATTTAGGAAATTTGCTTAGTATCTCTGGTATCTTATTTTCATTAATAAGATATCTAAACATGTCACATAGGGTATTATACTGTCTATCTTTGTATTCCTCAATAAGTGGACAATTAAGTACATAGTGTTCAAGACAGTGACCATATGCCTGATCACATAATTTACATTTAGTATGATCATCATCTGTGTGTCTCTCAAACTGCCAGAAGTACTTGTAACCAAGCCTAAGCCTGGCCACTACAACATCAGTCAGTCTGTTCACAACGCACATTGCTCCAAAAACATGCTTATCTACGTTCATGTTATCATAGTGGGTTATAGATCTACTCAGGCTTCTAATTGCATTCCTATAACAATCATTTTCATTATTTACTTCTCTCCTAATATTATTCCTAATGCTAGACACAGTCATACCAAA